AATTTTATTTTTAATTAAATTATTTTGTAATATTGCTCATTTGATTGATGTGTTTAACAGTTACAATGTTGAGAGAATATATATTAAATATTTGTATTAACGATATCTGTGTGTAAATTTTCAACAAAATATTACTAAATTTAAACTTTACAAAAATATTAGAATAATAAACCTATATGCAAGTAAGACTAACAGCACAAAACCTTTCTCACTAATTTCTAGCCTTATTAACTGGAGTACAAACGTTTTCGGCCTTCTTAATAGGCCTTCCTCGGGTACACTCTCGAGTGTACCCGAGTGTACTCGAGTGTACCCGAGGAAGGCCTATTAAGAAGGCCGAAAACGTTTGTACTCCAGTTAATAAGGCTAGAAATTAGTGAGAAAGGTTTTGTGCTGTTAGTCTTAGAAATAGTTCTAGCTACATATGCATAGTAGTATATGCAAGTATATATTAAAAGTAAAGCTAGGACATTTAAGGACTAAAAAACCACATAATTTATGATTTTTAATGCTGAGATGTCCTAGCTCTAATTATAAGATACTGTACTTAGTTGATAACTGAACATATTGCAGTATACAGTATACTTGCTTGTAGGTTTGTTAGAATGGTTTTTAAATCTATTATCATCTATAATCATTTTTATTCTGTTTGAAAAACATAATCAAATAAAGAATAAAATTAATAGTAAGAAGAAAACTCAAGATGCTCAGTATAATTTTGAATTATGATTAGGGTTTAAAAAAAGTAATATAAATGCAACTTATTAAATAACATGCATAATAATAAAGCCATTGGTTATCATCATTTGAAATTATTTGAGTTATAGCAGTTTACATTGGCAGATTAATAGACTGATTTCCAGTAATCAGCAGCATGACTTTCTCACTTGATAATTGTTTTACAATGATTTGAGTTTAAGCACTGAAAATAGAGAACAACAATTGATGTTTCCAATATTTGTGTTTTTGCAAAGTCATTAATAACATTTTTGTAAAAAAAAAAAGGATATTGAACTTGCATGTAGCTTAAAAATATCAAGAACGAAATGACGACAGTTTTAGGAAAACTGAGAAAGTAAAATATAATTCATTGTTATTCTTGGAAATTTCTTTGTAAAATTTTATCATAGACATTCTTCAGAAAGTATGTATAAAGTTGATATTAATTGGCTATTGTATAATATGTGTTTTGTATATCAAACTCTATTGTAGCATTTACTGTTAGAAATTTGTTATTAAAGTTGATATTTTATTTTAGAATGCAAGAAGTTAGAATTGACTAAAATTTATGAAGTTTGCATTATATCCTTTATATTTATTTTTCAAAAAATTAAAAAAAAAAGGAAAAATTGAGGTCTAATGTTATTTGAAAGATATTTTTTTTCCTATATGATATTAATATTCTGGCTTTAAATGTTATATTGTTCATAGTATTGATTTAATGTATATGTTTAATAATAATTCTTTTGTTTGTGTGTTGACAAAGAAAAATAATATTCTTTTAAAAGGTCAATTTTTCAAAGAAATTATTTCCTGTGTAACACCATGCTTACTGAAAACAGTTAGCAGCCAACTTAAAAAATAAAATTAAAAACAACATCAACACCAATAAGATTGAAAATAACGAAATACTAAACCAAACAGGAGTACTATATGAAATAAAATGTACTGTACATGTAAGAAACCAGCGATATACATTGGTGAAACAGGAATAAATAAAAGTACTCTGTACCAGAATAAAAGAACATAAAGCAGCAATTAGACTTAATTACAACCAGTCACCATGGACAAATCACTGTAGGGAATTTGGATGCACAATCAATGAAAAAAGTGTAAAAATAATCCATAGAGAAAAAGACAGTTATCTATGAAAATTCAAAGAGCACTTCGAAATTGTTAATAAAAACAAAACCATAAACCTAAATGATGGAATGGAAGTTGACAACGTGTGGGAGGAAATGGGTGGAGCTAAAGGAAAAGAAAACAAAAAGAAGGGAAAACAGTCTAAAAATGCCTTAGGGGACACAACATCTGGGCAGGTGTATGTCTAAACATAAAACAGGTTAGTTAACTATTGTGCAAATATATCCAAAATTGTTGTAATTTACCATAATAACAAATGTAATAATCAAATTTACCAATTTATAGAAACCTGAAGAGGGATGCAAGCTACTTAAAAATATTGCACCCAAAATGCATAGTAAATAAGTAAATAAAGAATACAAAGATAAGCTTTTGTCTCTGATTAAATGCGGTCCAGGCAAAAAAACGACGGTTATTTCTGTGGAATTAACCCATGAAGTTTCATCAATTTTTTGAGGAAATAATTTCTTTGAAAAATTGACCTTTTAAAAGAATATAAAGAAAACTGCACCATTGATATAATATATCTATTACTTACAAAAATAATATTTTGAAACTTATCCTTCAAAGTTCAAAATTTCTCCTGTTGGTTTCATTGATGCCTGTTTCTTATAGGGATATTTTTATTTGGAGAAATTAAAAACAACTGAAATACAACTATCAAGTGTTAACAAGTTGATCTTTATATGCAGTATATAATTTTTATTTTTCTACACAAGAATCTAAAAATAACAGACTTGATAACAGTTTGGTATTAATACATTTTATCTGGAGTGACCCCAACAGTGCTTGTGAAAGAAGCTTCTCCATAGGATATAGAGATACAGTACTAATTATAGAAAGCGTAAAGATTTCTTATTGTTGAGTTCATTTGATACTACCAGTGTTTTGTATATTTTTTTACATTCAGTGTCTGATAGAAGTGGAAAGTTTACTGTTTATATTCTCTCAAAGAAAGTTATGTTATATGCAATTGCATTATCATCACATCTTTTATAAATAGAAAAAAAAATTTACAGATATATCATTAATAAGATGGAACTGAAATGTAGAAAAATGTAGAGAATATATTATGTAATCTATGATAAACAATACACTGTTCCATCAGCTTAGCAAAGATCAGAGGACCAAATTTAGTGGTTAATCCTCAAAAATATCTGTAATTTTATGAGTGTTATTAACAAAAATGCTAAAGAATGGGTTTTTCAGATTTAACTTTTTTAATAGGAAAATTTGCTAGGAAGTTAACTCCCCTCCAACTTTTATTCCAAGTTATCATTTATAACAGTTCACTGTTATGATTGATAATCTGATATATTTGCCTGTATTGATTTTGATGATATAATATAATAATAGGTCTACTGAAAATTTTAAAGTTAATGTCAAAGAAATGTAACATAAAAAAGAAATATTTATTACCCGTTCAGTTATTTTGGATAGATCAATGTAGAACAGATCAAGAAATTTCTTTACTTCCTTAGGAAAAATGAAAAACGTATGGACAAAATATGTAAAATATTTATTTAAATGATTAAAAATAGGAATAAAAGTAGTAAAAAATTGTCATTGCTTTTTATTGGTATTCGATTTTCTCATAATTCTGCCATTTCATTAAACTTTGAATTCGGTTTTTTGACATTCATATATTTTATAGATCGATTCTTTCTGCCCAGCCACATTGATTTGTATGCCAAAGTCGAGTAATTTTCCCTTCATGTTATATTTAGATCAGTTGCCGAATATTAAATTAGTAGAAATGAAAGTTTTTACGATGACTTTTCTGATCAAATCATTGGGAAGTCATAAAATATTAACTTTCTCTGTTTTTAAATTCAAAATTGACGAAATTAAATTCGGTTGGCTTCAAATATTACTGTTCAGGTTTGGCTTAACTTTTAATAAGTTGATGCTAAGTAATTTCTATGTAATGTATTGTTTCTCTTTTATTTATTAAATAAGATATTTTACTTCCTGCAATTTAATTGATATATAATTTTTAAACACGTTAAAGAGAATTTTTATTTGCACTTTTCTTGTATACAAATTGTGCGCGCGTGTGGTTGTGTATGTTTGTCTGTGTCGCACAGAACACACAGTTATCCACACGCGCGCGAACAACAACCCCAAGAAAATTTTACAGTATATATACGGACGTATCGCTATATTTCGAATCTTTTTAGAATGATTGACACACGTGCCGAGGATTTAGGCCGCTTACCTATTGTTCGACACAGCATTATTATGTTATATATAGTCTTACGTGCTAGTGGATTGACTGTTGGATGGTCGATATGACAAAATACACTCTTTAAGATCCGAATTACATTGCAAGAATACTAAAATTCTTGTATAATCTTTGGCTTTTCATATATTATATAAAACACCATGCTTTAACACGTCAGTTTAATGCATTTAAATGGTAGTTCGAAAGTTATTCTTCTTAACGTCCATAAATCTATATTTTGTCCCTATAATTTACGTACATTTTATTATTATATATACTATATTAATATTCTGTTGAGCTGTTTGCATTCTAAGCGAAAAGAATTATTATTCTAAAGACAACTTTCAATTTTTCTATATATTACTTGAAGAATAGGCAAAGGGTGGCATTAAAAAGTTATTTAATAAATTAAAAAAATAATAATAATTACGTGTTTTTTAATTATTTCGTAACTTCACTTGAAATGTAGGTCTTAGATGTTAACAAAATAGGAAAAAAAAGAGATTGAAATTCGATAATTTGTAGAAGTGAAAATTTGAGAATTAAATATTTCTAAAGTGATAATGATATTTCTCGGAAAATAGTACAGAAATAATTTCATATCCTTTTTCTTTTAATAATTTAACATAAAATAAAATTTTTAATTGTGTTAACGTTGCTAGAATGGGTTTAAGTGCAACATTTTTATGTAACCGGCAAGGAACTCTTATAAAATATTTTGTGCAGTTTACAGCGCAATATTAAGTAATTATAATTAAATTTTAAACAGTTTTTTATGTTATAAATGCGATTTTTTTTTCAGTCGAAAGCTTAAGTATTTCGAAACTTATCGAGGACTCGATTGTTATTAAAGAAAAAAAAATTGGGCACAAATATCTGATTCTTTTGTCTTTTTTTTATTATTATTGAACAGATGGAAACCGAGTAGTCCCGCAGCCGTAAAGAATCAAAATTCCATCGACGGCTTCCAATGTCCTGCGGGAACAACTGTCCAGCCAATGCTGGAAACTGTCAGCCAAATGCTAGCGAAAACAATAACAATGTGGTCGATTTCGAAGGATCCGAAAATTCGAAACAAGTTGTAAGTTCCGAAGTGGAAAACCGGATTGACGCGGATAAGGTAAGTTGTGCAACCTTCCACTTGTAATAATTTTTTTTTTATGTGTGTGTAGGGGAGCGCTCATAATGCTTGACCTACTACCGTTTAGAATAGAAAATAGTGCTGTAGCGGGACGGATAGACCTGGAATGACATCTGTCTACCATTTGTTGGTCCGTTTTCGTCACTTCCTTCTTCGCTCTTCTCAATAGTGAATGCACTTCTGTTCGATTTTTACATGTCCGGGCTTTAATGGGTCTGGGTGAATGATAAAAAAAAAGCGTGAGAACATTCTCTTTTCCGATTTCGTAGTTACATAAAATTAAAACACACACATATACATTTATATATATAAAAAAACTGGGCGTAGTCCTTTTTTGGATTTTTACAAAGTGACCTTGAACTTATTCTAAATTAAGAGGGCTTCCAGGGGATACATTTTTTGTTTTTTATTATTATTATTATTTTCTTTTGTTCTTTCGAGCGATGTTAGTGACGGAATTCGTGTACGATTATCGTCGTTATCGTATGGGTAGCGTGTCGTTTCGGTGAGGAGAAACACGATTTTGTAGATCGAGTTTCTAGCTCAATGTCCGCCACGCCCTCGTCGGTCACGTGTCGTCGGGAGGGTGATAGATTTGCACGTGCTGTGTGCTCGAGAAATTACGTAATCGCTTCGTATTAAAGAATGGATTTTCTTCTTCTCTCGCGCGCTTTTGTTAAGAGTTTTCGGTTTTGTATCAGTTTTTTTTTCCTTTTTTTTTTAGTAAACAATTTATTAAGTATTCTAGAAATTAACTTACGTAGAAGGGGAGGAGTTTCTTTTAGTAGAGGCTACCACTATCTTCGATCACTTCCTGATTTTTCTGGTTGTCTTAGCCTCGGGATGTACTTTCGAAGTCGGTCTCCAGATTATAAATTAGTTTTAAAAAAACATTAGTTAAATTACTTAAGATTAAATGATTAAATAGTTTAAAATCGTTGCTATAAATATTCTCGTTTCGATTTGGTATTGATGTAAATAACACGATCCAATTCTCTTACTGATCGATGATGTCGATCGAGCGAAATTTTAGAGCGATTAGAAATTGATTGATTCTTATGTACGAATCGATCGCCTAAACGTTTAGTTTTAAATATTTATCAAATAGATATAAGTTAAACATTCCCCAAGGGTTATTTTATATGCATCTAAAAATAGTTTTATCTGCAATTATAAATGTTAATAATTAAGGTTACGTTGGGAGGGTTTTACCTGTCGAAAGTTTACTTAACGCACGATCCATTCGTCACAGTTAATTTTTAATATCGTAATCACCGGATTTTAAACTTTACAAAGGGGTCAAGTATAAAAAGAGAGAGTTATTCACACGTTTATGTGTTTTTTAAAGAAGTGAAAACGGAGTGACGTATCTTTCTCCATAATTAAAATCGACTTTTTTTGTGTGTGTTTAGCCACGTGTTCGTCGCTTTAACGCTCCTAACATCGTATGAAAAGCTCGGCTGTGTTCGCCCGCCGCAACTAACAATAGGCTTTATAATGCTATGTTTTAGGAGGAGGACGTTTAGTATTTAACAATTCGACCGAAATTTTCTGTTTGAAGTTGACTCGTATCTTCGACGAGAAAGCTGTGTTTTTTCCAGAATTTTTCTCCGTTTATGGGTACTTTAATTAACGATTTTAATGTGTTTTCTCAATCTGGAAAGTTTAGGAGGGGTTCTCGAGAAGGAGGCGAAATGTCGGGGCGCGGCCGTTCGAGTGCTTCCTGCTGTGTAGTGAGAAACAGGTGGAGTGTTCCAAGTGTGTGTTCACTGGACTGTGTTTGGGTGAGGTCCGAGTTTTGTTTGTCTGCGGATTGTTACCCTTGGCAACGGCGGGACACGTTCGTTTCGCTTTGTTTGTTTGACTTTAGTCTGGTTGGGATCTCGTCAAACAAAGGTCGCATTTCCATCCCGGTTTTAATTTCCTTTTTTTCTTCTCTCCTCGATCCCTATTTTTCAGTCGGTGTTTGTCGTTTCAAAATCAAAATTTACAATTTTTACAATTATATCGGTAAGTGTTGAGAATAAATTCGATTAGAACTTTGAACTGAGAAATAGTAAATAAATAAAATATACGTTCCGATATTCGTTTTGATCGAAAAATAAATATTAAAAAAATATTAGCAAAAATTATACTTTTATTATTATTATTATTATTATTATTAATTTTTTTTGGTCCATTTTTCCATTTTTTTGTCATTATTCAATTACAATTTTTTTATAGACAGACTTGTTTAGAATATTAATCTCAGTCGATGATATAACTTCATTAATTAATAATCTTTACTTTCACAATATTTAAATTTTTAAAATTAGATTTTTCATTTTTTATTTTTTTATTTCTCTTCTTTGTGAATATTTATCTAAAATTAAGTATTTACAAGGAAAAACAGGAACAATATAACCTTAATTTTAAATGGAAGCTTGCATTTTTTTCTACTTCCATATAAATGTAATGTTTTTGATGTTTAGAGATTACCTAGTTGCTCAAATATTTATTAATTTATCAAAAATTATTTTATATAGATTTAACATTAAGTAAATTTATTTATTTATGTATGTGCAAGCATATATATATATAAAACAAATGTTAATGTCTTTCTATGTAACTCATGCTTTTTTTTAACTAAAAAATATGCACATATTTATAGAGAAATGAAATTTAAACTAAATAATCTTAAAGTAATGATTGAATATTGTAAGCTATAAATGCTAATTTTATTTTTTTTGCTTTAAAATACTTTTAAAACATTTTAAGTATATTTATAAACATTCAATAAACTTTAAAATACAAATTCTGTTTATAAAAACAAGAAGTTTATTTTAAAGATTTTTAAAATGTTTATTTTTTTTCTGTACTTTTAATTATTTGATTTATTAACCGATAGTGCATAAAAAATTTTTTTAACATTCAAATTTTTGTAGTTTAGATAGGTTTGTTTTTTTTTAATATTAAGAGTGTAGTTATTAATGATCAATAGCAGGAACAGTTATTTAAGATTGGTAAAAACATTTTAAGCAAAGAATAATATTCAATGTCTACATCTGTCTGTATATATTCAGATTTTATTTAATTTTGGAAATTTTCTTATTACGTAGTATTTTTGTAGTTTAGATATTTTATAAACATAAATAATTTAAGTATATGTTACAATAAGGAAAGTTGTTATTGATTTATTATCATTGATTTTAATGTAATAAAATATAAAACTTTTGCAGGAATTAGAGTCTGTAAACACAGAAAATTCAACAAATACATTTGAAACAAAAGCAAATGAATTCAATTGTGCCATTCTTTCGTGTTCTCCTTTTGCTAAGCCTTCCACATCATCTTCCACTAAAGACACATCAACACTTAGTTCCTGTGGTCCAGTGTCGTGCGCATGTAACATTTCCTCTGCCCTTCCTTCGTGCAGGATTATTGAGGAGAACGTCTGTCAAAGTCAATTAAATAGGATCGAAAATAGCAAGTAAGTTTTAAACAAAAATGATTACACTTTCGTTAAACTGAAATTAATTACAAGTATTTAATTACATCTGTGTTTCGTAATGTAAGTTTATTGAAAATTTGAATTTATAGTAACAACATATATTTGAATATAAACATTTTTAACATTTTATGTAATGTAATTTAATTTTTTTTTTTTTTTTGATAACACTATTAAAAAAGTTCCTTGAACTATTAACAAAAATGAATACAAAAAAGAATGACGACAAAACACATGCAGACATTTTGAACATAATACATTCTTCATTAACATATGCTATAATATGATATCCGTGATAATGACATCATTCCTTCTGACTTATCTTTACTTTTATGATATGACTAATTGAAAATTAAGATGCAATTTTTTTCTTATCTGATAACTATATCTATCTGATAAACAGTTTTGCATATTTTATTTATGTTTAATACGAGTTATCATGTATTTTTATATCTTTGTATATAAAATGATTTGTGTCAAACTAATCTCTCTAGTAAATTACAAATCATTAAATTTTTTGTTTCGCTGTTCACTATATTTTAAATATTCTAGTTTGATATGTAATCAAATTAAAATTGCTGTTATTGTTTCAAGTTTAACTTTGATTATATATAAAATATAAAATTTTATATTTATTTATAAGGTGAAAGTTTTAAATATATGATACACATTTCTTGATAAAATTTATTAGGTTTAGAATACATTCAGATTTTGTAAGTTCATGTATGTGTTTAGCTCACATTAAGATTAAAATTAAAATGACTTGCTAAACAATTTTAACTTTTCTGGCTGTTATACGGAGGGAAAGAATGGCAATATGGCAAAAAATGACTCCCCCTCAGATTTTTTACATTTTTGGACTTAGGACACCTTGAAATGTCAAGAAATGCAAAAAAATTTGGGTGTAATTTTGTAGGTATGGGTGTTAGCATGTATTTTTTCACCCTGTTTGAAGCTTAATAACTCCTGTGCTTTTTGTCGAAAATTTCTGAAATTTTGCAGGGAGGTTTGTTTATTAGGGGATCAATGCTATTAAATTTTGGAGATTAAAGGTCAAGGAGGTGGGAAGATAAAGGGAGTCATGTGTATCTCCTGTAGGGTTGGACTTAATGATGATTTTACTCCTTATTACCATTAACAATTTTTTTTTTTATAAAACTCATCCCTAACCTCAAAATTAAGCTTTTTGCCATTTTATAATAGTTAAAAATATAACAAGTTTTTAAATACAATATGATAACAGATGGTGCCATCAAAATTTAAAAGTTTTCGGGATATATTTCTTTTAAATATAAATGTAATGTAAACAATATACGTAATGTGCAATTGTTACATTTCTCAATTAGATTATTCAATATTTTTTTTATATTCGTAATTGCAGTTGTAATGAGGTCCCGGGGCTTTGCCAATGACGTGAATAATGGTGGCACATAAACCGTGTTCTTTACATACTCCAACAGAAAAAAAAATCACACGTCGAGTGGTCTGAACGCGTAAAAAGCATCGATACGGAACTTCATTGTTGATTCAACATCCATTCTAGAGGTGGGGGGGGGGGTTCTGCGTTCAAGTACGACGCACCTCAGTATGTACCTCAGAAGATCCATTCTTCCTTAAACAAAGTAATAGGAAAGTTTTTTGTTTCGTAGCCACAATTTTGACAACGAACGTCGAATGCCACTTGGTGTGTGGCAAGGAAATAGTCGTAAATGTGCTTCAAATTTGGAAAGTTTTCTTCTGTTTCGTGTTTGGATTGTATGACCAAGTGCGATAGTTTGAAGTTACTGAACTTTAAAAATGTTTGAAAGTTTGGAAACAATTATGCCGGCACTTGTCAAAAGCTGCAGCTTCAATTCAGATTTCAATAATTTACACGTTTCTTCAAGTGACATTAGAGTAATTTGGAGTTTTGTGCGATATAAAAAAAGGCATAAACTCAGACTTATGTAACTAAGAAGTTTTGTTAGTAAAAGGAAAATCCTAACAATTATAATACTGAATTTAAAAGATGAACCTTTTACGTGAAATCCTTTCAAGTAAAAATGTAATTTTTTAACCGAAATAAGTAAGAAATTTTTATATTTTATACGATAACCTAGTGAATATATAAATGAATTTAATAAATCCGATAAATATTTACTAAATTTAACGAATAAATTGAGATCATTTCGTAATCTCAACCACCCTATTTTAGTGTTTATATTAATTATTAAAAACAATTGTTTATGACCACTTCTTCCTTTTCTGTTCTCTTAAAAAACTGTTTAAAATTTTATCTATTAAACATACATTATTCAATGTGAATTCGCTAGAAAAGGCAAAGCTTTCAGCTTTTAACACATTTGCTTACAAGTAAATAGCTCACTCCGAACATCTAAAAAGTTCGTATCTGGAAATTCTTCTGGAGAATTGTTATGTGCTTCAAAGAATACCACAAAAGAAAATAATAAAAATTAAGCTTTGAATATAGAATCTCCAAATTGGCTTATTCCTGCTATTTTACAAACAATACAGGAGGCTTTTTCTTATTATTATGAAAAATAAATTTTAAACATACATACGATCTGACAGAATACAACAGGCCAGTTTTGAGAANCAATACATACAAGTACAGTACAGTATTTTCTGAGGAAACACTCGTACTTATTTTTTTTTAACCCCATTCCCGATAACCCGGCATTTTCACAAACTCGGCCACCCTTCGGTCCACATTAGGCCGAGTTTTCGAGGCTCTACTGTATTCACTAATCTGAACAACTCCATAAAATAATTAATTCAGATTAGTAAGAGTGCATTTTATTATTTATAAATGTATTTTTAATAATAAAATATTCTTGTAGTCAACCTGGAAATGAAATTATTGTGTCATAAAATGCAACATTAGATGATCTCCTGATAAACAATGTGTAAAATTGTGTTTTATGATTGGAAATAATCTGTAATCTTCTTAAATCTATTTTTAAATAAAACATTTTTATAAATAAAAACATGCCAAATGAACTGCCAGATTATTTATCAAGCCATAATAAGATTAATTTAATGATTAGACATGCAGTAATTTGTCGTTAGGTAGGAAATTGGGTCACCATCTAAAAATAAATTTAGAATATTTTCAAAGAAAAATTGGCCCCAAGTTCTTGCTCATCATGCAGCTGCATTTCCAATTATACTATTCAGACCTCTGTCCATCTTTACTTCCAGAGCAAATTTAATTAAAAGTTATTAATTAATTAATAACTTTTAATTAATTAATAATTTAGATACAGTATAACATGATTATAGCTCAATAAGCAATTTGGCAGTTTGGAGTTTGGCATTATTAATTGAATTAGATTGATGCATATTTGTTGACAAGTCTATGTCTTGTTTATAAAATCTTACTGCCCGATTTTCTTATCAGCATAGAGGTATGAAGGAGTACATGTCGAGAGTTGATATTTGGCACAGAGTATTAGGTGCCCAAATCATTTGCGCATAAAAAAATCCAGACTTGTAGATAATCAGGGGACCGAGAATCAAGTCAAAATAAAATACAAAATGGCGACCCTATTCTACAAATAGGCAAAACAGCCACCTCACCCCACCGAAGTCAGGTAGAGGAGAGTACCATCCACAGTAATTCTAAGAAGTGAACCCTGACCTTAGTAATGAACACGTAAATACAAATAAAATACAAATAAAATTTGTAATCTAATTTTGCAAATTTGGGAGTTCTTCAAATATGACATTAAAACGGTTTTATGTCGTTACAAGTGGTTTTTTTTTAACATTATCTAGTATGATAAAATTGTGGAACCGATAAAAATTTCATGTGTAGGGCAGAGGGTGCCACTGCATGACCTTTGCCCTTTGCCTTTTGACCTCACTTTGCTCCTAAATTCTAACGAGGAGAGACATCTTTTTACTTCATTTAGTTAACCTTTTGATTTGACAACCGTGCCGATCTTGGATTTATATTATATCTTGACACTGTTGTAAATATTAAGGATGCACCGATAAGCAAAATGGCCGATTACCGATCACTGATTAATCGGCCGATTAGTGTTAATAATTTATAGCATTAATTAATAGTGTGAGATCCTGGAGTTAATTATACAGTTAATTATAATGTGGAAAAAACCCATTTTTCTCCACCTGGTATTTCCATCTCCCTCGGGTCAGGTAAACAAGAGACGATCGAATATCCTCGCCAAATCAACAATCTCTTCCTTTGTTTCTAAAATAAATCTCAACACTTAATTGTTGACGCATGGAAACTTCGACATTGTTTAAAAAGCTGAAGTGTTTCTGTGTTTAACAGAAACAAAATATATTTCTTTAACCGCTGATATTTGGACAGCAACTACAAACAATTCTCCTTTTTTAAGTGTAACAGCCCACTGGTTGAAGGATGATTTTCAGCAGGAAAGAGCTGTTTTGCAAATTGTTTCCTTTGAAGGTTCCCACACAGCTACACGAATCAGTGAACAGTTAAAAATTGTTCTTGAACAGTATAAGTTGACAAGTGATAAGATATTCTTAGTACTAAGAGATTCTGCAGCAAATCTGGTAGCTGGAATTAGGAATTGCAACTTAGAAGCATTATCATGCTTTATACATACGCTGCAGCTGACACTAAACGAATGCATATTTTCTAAACAAGATGTGAAAACTATAATCACAGTTAATAGAAATATTGTCACACATTTTAATCATTCTGCTGTAGCTGTAATCAAATTGGAAGATTTGCAAGAAAAGTTAGGTTTGCAGAAACACAAATTAATTCAAGATGTTCCTACTCGCTGGAATTCTACATACTACATGTTGGAACAGCAAAAGGCCCTTGTCACATATGCTATAGATAATAAAATTCCTACGTTGAGCCCATATCAGTGGTCTCTCGTTGAAAAAATTGTTCTACTTGTAAAACCATTCAAAGAAATTACTGTGGAAAGCCAGCAAACGAGAAGCCACTTCATCTTCAATAATTCCCACAATAGAGA